TACTAATTCTCCCAATATCAGTATGTTTCCCACTACTTTCAGAGAGGATAGAAACCCAATCACCATTACAGTTTATGAAAGTCTAACACACACACGCAAACCCCACGGTTTTCCATTTCCTAGAACTGGAGCTAGGTAAACTTCATTTCCTTGTTTTATTTTGTCTTGCAATTTAAGTTTCTAGAATTAAATTAACAACAAGTTTCTCACAAATTGTCAATTCATTCATTCTTCTATAGTATCCTTATATGCAAACGAAGCAATAATTCACACTTCCATTATCAGAAGTAATCATTCTGTAATTATGTACAACTTCATTTGAAAAACAAGAATAGACTTGTTCCAAAGTTAATCATGTGAAAATGGACTCATTAATTCCAACTGTCCATCTTGAGACTGAATGTGTCAGTCAACCTGCACAATTCTGGATATTCTATTTTATTTTTAGGGCTTGCAAATTCTACATTTGCTTTGAATGCCCTGTTTTCCTTAAATAGCACGTGTCTTCACCTAATTTAAAGGAATAGTCAATTCAGATTACTTACATTTAATGTCACTACTTCCTATAGCTATTGCTCCCTAGTATTCATGGAAAAATCTCAGAAAGAGTTAGTTAGTAAGACTGTCAACTAAGGATGACAGAGATGATTTTAAAGGAAAAAAATTTTTGATGAGAATGCTGGAAATAAATTATACAGTTAATCAAAAAATGGTACAGATGAACCAGTTTGCAAGGCAGAAATAGAGACACAGATATAGAGAATAAACGTCTGGACACCAAGGGGGGAAAGAGGGATGGGGTGGTGGTGGTGGTGATGGGATGAATTGGGAGATTGGGATTGGCATGTATACACTGATATGTATAAAACAGATTAATAAGAACCTGCTGTGTAAAAAATAAAATAAAGTTCAAAAAAATTATACAGTTAATAAAACCTCAAGGGAATAAGATGGTATCAGGGATATAAAATAGAGAAAAACAAAAATGAGAATAATTACTGGGGTCTCAGAGCAAAGAATGACCATGTTTGGGTTTTTCTACCAAATAAGTTATTTTGTGGAAACTTTACAACTCAGAATGTATTGTGGTTTGAGAGAAAGAAGGTAACATTTCACTAGTTATTTACTCTATGAATGCTTCGTTCCAACCAAAACATAATTCTTTGCATAATGTGTTCTCTTTTACTTAAATGCCCACATGGAAGTCATCAGACATGATAAAATAATGTACTTATTATTCCTTTTCAGATCTTGGGGAAAGAGAGTGCTTCTTTATAAGTGTAATGAAAGCATAATTTACTTTGCAATTCTTTGATTTTATACATTTTGTCTATCTTTCCTAGAAGACTTTGAGTTTAATATCCAATAAATATATTTCATGGAAAAGTAAACTGTTTTAATAAATTATTTTAGAGTTTAATAAAAACAAATAACTGCTTGCACCAAGAATCAACATCAATTAATCAGCTGATATTTATCGTACCTTCCACTTTGTGGGTGACGTGGGTGATCTAAAAGGTCCTTGACCTCTAGAAGTTTGGATAAAGTATGTGATAAAAATAGAAAATGATGAAGTGCCAAAAACAGAGACAGAAGAGTTCAGAGAAGTGAAAGATTGATATGTATTCACCTTAGACATGGGGTGGACTTAGAGCTTTAAGGATAAGTACTATTTAGAAAGCACCAGGACAAGTGATTAGTTGAAGTAAAAGGAAATAATATGAATCAGGCACTGTGGTGAGTGAAAATGTCACCCTAAAGAGAAAGTAATTATGTTATACGTAAGTAGAGCAAAGGTTGCGTGTTGAAAAGAAACAGACTATTCTGCTGGAAAGGGATGTTGACTGAAATTTGGTGGATCAAGAAAGCAGGGAGGAGGTTTGTTTTCGTATTGTATTAAGGACAACAGAGATTCATTGTCAGTTCTTGAAAAAAATAAGGAAGCAATATGTTTAAAATTATGTTTAATACTAGTCTTGGTTACAGATTAGAATAACAAAGAAGAGAAAGAATAAAAGGTGACTTCCAGTTAGATGAGGAGAGGCTATTCAGTTTTGTGAGAAACAGTCCTCACTTTGGTAGTGAACTGTAATGTCCCAGTTTACATTCCACTCACAAATGCTGCTTATAGAGGAAATGCATTGTTCAATTCTAAGGTAGAATCTTTAATGTCTCTTCTTGTGTTACTTAGTTTCGTAAATGATTTGGTCATTCTTATCAGAAATATCAACAATTTACTGCATGTTTACTGCGTGATTCTTGGATTCTTGGCACTGATAAAAGAACTATGAGAATTTTGCAAAACAGAGACACATGGGCATTAGATAAGGCACATCAAACAAATATACAAGACCATCTGTCTTTGTCCATCAACAAAACTACATCTTCAAGACTGAGTTTAAATATCACCTCTTCCTGAGTGCTTACCAAATATCCCATAAAGAAATGACTTTTCACTATTTTCTTAATTCAATAATATTTTTATTGTATTATCTTAATGGTTTTTACTGTCTTGTAGTATTTTTATTCTGATCTTTATTGAATTTAATATTATTTAAGATGTACTCTGGCATTATTCATTTAATAGATGGTGTCATTTAGATTATAAGCACTTTGAGGGTAAGTCAAGGTTGGTTAATGAATCTATATTTGTATGCTATTCTTGGTATATGGCAGAAACTCAATAATATTCATAGAGTGAATAAAATAGTAAACATTTTTCCATCTTCCACAAGTACTACTGGGCTTATATCATGAGTATTCACAATAATGATTACTTTTTACACGGGACTATCAGGGAGAGTAATAAATCCTCCTTTGTTCAAAAAGTCACAGTTTAAAAGTTAGAAAAAATACAAAACCAAGGAGAAAAACATTCTTGTATGTGTGAACATGTATGTATACTCCCAGATAATATACGCCTGGTACTCAATAGTATGTGATGTTTTTAGTATAAACTATGTTATACTCTTTGAAAAATAAACAATGTAGTCAAGAAACAGACAGGGAAGTGCCCAAGATAAGAGGCCAAGAGGAGTAGAGCATAAAGATAGGTCTGAAAGAGAAGGTCAGTAGTAGGAAAGATGAGATTGGGCACATTCAGAATGAAACAATGCCATTTGCTGCTAGCAACATGGATGGACCTAAAGATTATCATATTAAGTGAAGTAAGCCAGACAAAGACAAATATCATATGATATTGCATATATATGGAATCTGAAAAAAAAAAAGATACAAATGAACTTATTTCCAAAAAGAAATAGACTCACAGACATAGAAAACAAATTTATGGTTACCAAAGGGGAAAGTGGGGGGACGGATAAATTAGGAGGCTGCGATTAATGTTTACATGCTACTATATATAACATAGATAACCAACAGGACCTACTGTATAGCACAGGGAACTATACTCAATATTTTGTAATATCCTATAAGGGAAAAAAATATGAAAAAGAAAATATATATACATACATATATGTTTGTGTGTGTGTATATATATATATATATATATATATATGAATTGCTGTGCTATACACCTGAAACTAACACAGTATTGTAAATCAACTACACTTCAATACAAAAATAAAAAATAAAAAAAAAATAGCAGGAAAGAATGTACATGTAATACAGTTTATCAAGACCCGTTAGCGATTCACACTGAATTAAAGTGTGTTCTAAGTGGCATGTAAAGCTATAGGTGTTAGCAGGAAGAGAACATCTCAGATATGGTAATGCCTTAATAATCAAGGCACCAAGCTAAATTAATTGCCTACACAAATGGGATATAGTATTGCAGATAACATATAAAGGTAAATTATCCCAAAACTATTCATTTTTTTTAATTTAAAATATTTTAAGCATCTAATACTCTATATTAGCCACTCTTTGAACTCATAATATACATAAAATGCATAATATATTATCTAATGTTCTCAGAACTTAGTATATGTTTCTAAATGAAACCATATGTAACCAGCTGTCTCAGAGGAATGAGAGGAATTATCTGGAATCCGCGTCTTCTTTGCTTAACTTTTTGCTGGTACATATATCATGCTGAAAATTGTCAACATCCTCAGAGTATATGAAGGAAAATGGTAGAAGAAGAAGCTAATGTTCACCGAAGATGTACCCTATGTAAAAGGACTGGATTAGATATTATCTCATATTCTTTATCTCATGTTAATCTTCATAATAAACCACTAATATTGGTGTCATTATCATCACTTTATAATGAAGAAACCGAGGCTTGGCCAGGGGATGAAATATGCTTAAAGTCACCCAAATAGTAAGTGGCAGAGCTGGTATTCAATGCCAGAGCCCAAGCCTTTCCTCTCCTCTACACTGGCCTTGCTCATAAATTGGCAACTGGCTGAAAAAGGAAGTCCGATCATTGTTTTACATATATCCTTACAGAGATTTTAGGTAATTTGTTTTTCACTAAATATTTTGGAGGGTTGATGATGGGGACATACAGTTGCCAGATGGAAGTGAAAAGCAAACCTGAACTGAATTGCACTTTAAAAAATTAATTTTCTGCTTTCTCATAGTTTCCTACATTGAGAGATTTTTGTTTTGTTTTGTTTTTGACATCCAAAGCACAGTTTGCACTGTGGCAAGACATATGGGGTTAAAAATTGAATAGGTGGCGACAATACAAAATTGAAAGCAAGTTTTATTGAAATATGTGTGATAACAGGAGTTAGCTTCAGATAGTCTTTAACCTCAAAAGATCTAAAGCATTTATGTGCCAGAAGAGTGCTTGGTATATGGTAGACAATCAATACTTTTTTGAAGAATAAATGGATACCTTATCATATCAACATCAGTGATGGTCGAGGGCAGTTTGGCAAATTTTAAATTCTCTCATTAGAAATATCAAAGTATATCTTGATGAAATATCAAAGTGATGATGTTTTGATTGCTTCATTTTACACTTCTTGCAGATAAACTTAAATTAGTAAAGATAAAATGAATCAAGTGCATTCATATTTATTTTCCAGTGCTCAGCTCCTTGTGGTAAAGGTTTAAAGTACCGTGAGGTGATTTGTGTTGACCAATTCCACGGGAAATTAGAAGAAAAATATTGCAGTCATCTACAGAAACCTCGAACTCATAAAGTTTGTAGATCTGTCAGATGCCCTTCATGGAAAGCCAAAAAATGGAAGGAGGTATGTAAGATGTTTTATGATTATATATGTATTTTTGCATTTACAAAGAAAATCTTAATTCATTCTGTATGCTTTCAATAACCTTGAAAGTTTTACTCTACTGAATGTGTTTTATTCTATTACACAATTTTTTTGCACTATGCTCTGAATTAATATTGTACAGTGTTAACACATTTGCTAAGTTCATAGCTTAATAACAAATTAGTCTTTTAATTTTTTTTTTTTTTGTGGTTGTAAACTTTACAAGAAATTCTGTTACTGAATACTAGGGAGGCTACTGATGATTATAATATTATTCCAGGTGACCTAACAGTAAAATATACATGATGAGGTGTTTAGTAACTGTCTGGCTTCCACACTAAAGTCTTGGATTTGAGCTGAGTTTGCAACTTGGAAAAGGGACTGGTAAGTTCCAGATGGATCATAATTGGAGATGGTTTAAGAGTCAGGGACATGACAGAACTAGGGAGCCCAGCTGGTCTAAGGCCAGAGTGGACACACTTGGAAAGACTCAGCAAAAATGAAGCTGAGGGCTTCCCTGGTGGCGCAGTGCTTGAGAGTCCGCCTGCCGATGCAGGAGACGCGGGTTCGTGCCCCGTTTCGTGAAGATCCCACATGCCGCGGAGCGGCTGGGCCCGTGAGCCATGGCCGCTGAGCCTGCGCGTCCGGAGCCTGTGCTCCGCAAATGGGAGAGGCCACGACAGTGAGAGGCCCGCATAACGCAAGAAAAAAAAAAAAAATGAAGCTGATACGGAGATGAGACCAAGGCTGAAAACTCAGTTTATAAAAGAAGGGTGATGGATACTTGCTCTGGCACACTCAGGGAAGTAACCTCCAGATCTAAACTGGGAAAGCCATATATTTGAATGTGGTTGTCCAGCAAAGACCAGCCTGGGAAATATTAAGGAGGAAAAAGCCATAAATGAAGCCAGAAATGATAACTAGAATAATTTCCTGAGGCCTGATTTCAGTGGGGCTAGGATTTCAGCAAAGCTATCTGGCTTCTCTCAGCAGTATCTCAGGATACTTATCCGTGTCTTAGAGGAGCTAGTCCTACGATGGGAAAAAGAACCTCATCTTCTGCTGATGGAACTTCCTTGTCTCTGTCTGATGTTGGAGCTATGTTAGGAAGATAGGGGCTCAGACAGGAGCTAGAAGTGGGGTTTCCCTGGGCCTCTAAGTTTTCATCCTTCACTCCGTGAGATCAGATCCTTGGTGGCAGAGCACCAGCTTTAAAAGTGACAGTGTCAGCACATCATTATTTTTGAATAGAAAGCTCCCAAATTGAGTGAGCGTCTCAGGTTTCTGGGTAGAAGAGATAGCCTCTGTCAAGTGTTAGGGTGTTGAGAATTGTGGTTCATCTTTGACTGAAAACTAGGGGCAAACATGTCTCTGTTTTTCTTCTCAAAACAAAAAATATATATCTGAGCACTTACTTCTACCCTGAATTTTGGTACAGTAAATAAAATTAAGTTTGTAGTTTGGCAGAGACCATTATTTAAAAGATATCCCATTAACCTGTTTTATTTAGTGAATGCCACTACTACCTACTAAGTCGTTCAAAAAAGAAACACTGGGTCCATCCTGTCTCCCTTGACTCCTCAGTTAGTTATCCCCTAGCTTCTCTCAATGACAGCAGGCAGGAGCCGCTGGTGGATGGGAGTGGAAGCGGGAGAGGCTCTGCTTTTTGGCCACCAGCATCCCTTTTGATCCCCAGGATTCTTTTGCTGCCTTGCAGCTGCTGCAGCTGCTGTGGTTGCTATTCATGAGGGACACTTCCTGACCCTTGACCTCCAGCTCCACAACAGTGAATCAATCATGGGTGCTAACAACTTGTCCTTGGCTTGCCACCAACTCTGAAGTTATATAAGATTCACTAAAGGAATGTATTTCAGGGGTTTCTAAGATACAGATATGAATATGTAAAGACTATAAAAAACACAGATGCTTTTGTACAGAGTCGGCTTTTTTTCTTTGAATTGGTTTTCCTTGTCATAGAAATTAGCTTCATACACCCACACAGTCCCCAAAACTCTGCCAGAAACAAATGACCACTAGTGAAGTCGCTGGCTTTGATTTATTCCATAAAAAGTACCCACATGAAGTTAACAATTGCAGGCTGTGAGCTGCATATAATAATATATTCAACAGAAGTGTAATTTCAGAGGTAGTTACAAGATAATCACTGGTTGCTACTTTGTTCCAACTGCATAAATTGTAAAATTGCTTTACTAGAATCCCTCACTATAATTTCATTTTATTACTATTTTACATTGTACCTCTAATGGAAAGACTTATTTGGCAAACTGTGACCACAGAGGTGCTCAAATGAGTTTTGAAGTTAACACTCTTCATTTGGTATTTGATATCATTTTTTTTAATGAAAGGATTTAGTAATGCATTTTAATGACTGCAGCCAAACAGGAACAAATATTGCTATATAGAGTCCTTTGTCCCTAGGGTCCAGATGTATAGTTTAGAGGCAAAATAAATACTGGAATCATTTAAAAAGAAAAAAGCCTCATCCTCTTATTTCTGGAACCAGGCTTTTTGTTTTTGTTTTCACCTAATTTTACCTATTTGGGAATACCAGCTTCACTTGTAAATTCAAGTTTTTAAGGCTAGCATGGGGTATTAGCATCCTCATTGTCTCATGCTTAGTTCAGTGCCATCCAAACGTAGTTTTTATACTCAGAAAAAAAAAAAAATCATCCAGAATTCTCACCTCCCCTTGATCATGGCAAACCTGCCGGACAGCTTAGAAAGATACTTGAAGAATCTCAGGCAACCCTATTGAATCTAGAGCCTCGTGATAGCAGCCACTTACTTGGTCCCTCTTTTCAGGGACCCATTATTTTCTTTGTAGTATTTTAAGATCAGAGCTGGAACCAAATGTGATATGAGTTCCAAAATCTCACAAGTCTACCGGCTAGTGCCCCTGTTTCCCAAAACACCTAATCTGAAAAAAAATTTTTTTGGAAACTATTTGCTAAATGCTGACATGGTTAAGTGATTTTGTATTTCTGTAATTCCATATTTTCTATATTTCCAAAATACATATATAAATCATATTTGATTTAAATATTTGATTTCAAATATAGTCATATTTGAAAAAATTGTGATGTATACATATATATCTTTTATAATCTAAAAAGATAGTAAATCTTAAGACCCCACAGCCCCTGACCAAGAATGCAGAGTCTCTTCATCTTTACACCCAGGTTAAGTGAGTTTTCTTCCAGGAAGACAGGCTGAGGCCAAGGTCAGAGAGGATGTCTTTTTGTTCTGGGGCTGGGTGAACTATGCTTCTCAATCTTTTCTAGCTAGTGCCAGCAATTCTGCTTTTGAATTTCTGTGCTGCCTGTTAACTCTCTTCCTTTATCATCTTTCTTGATACTTAAGATGGTCCATCTTTGAGTGGGCTGAGACGAGTAATACTCTGGTTTGAGGCATGTGTCGAGAAACTTTTCAAGGCAAAAATATTTGTGTCTCTGTAAGAAGAGTGAAAAAAATGGGAATAGGACGGAAGCAGCAAGGGACAGTCACTTCCTGACACTGCCTAGAGACTTCTGTATTCTTCCCAACTGTAGGTATTCATTATGCAGATGAGGAAACAACAGCTTATAGGGGTTAAGTACTGAATAGCTTGTGCAGGTCACAGGCCAGGAAGTGATGGGGGCAGGGGGTGAGCATTTGAACACTTGTCTGAGTCTTCCCTATTGTAGTTGCTGTCATAATTATTTTATAGTTATCATTTTACATGAGCTCATCTTTATACTTCCTTAGCAATGTCTTTTACTTCCTTAGCAATGTATCTCCCCTCTTACAAGGCACCTGAAGTCAACAACTGCAGAATGTCACTGGATGACACATAACAATGCATTCAACAGAAACGTAGTTTCTATGTTGTGTTGAGTTCATTACAGGCTTATTTATATATAAAAAGTCTGTTGCATAAATTTAAGATATATATGGATTTTACATATCTTAGGAAAATAACTGAGGGTTCAATTGATCATGTATTGAATATGGTGTAGTTGCTTAAATCACTAGCAACATATTAGGCTACATTAATACATGAAGAGTGTTCAAAATTTTGCACTAATAAATTCTGGTCAGATTTTTGGAGCAGTACCTATTCTGAGACCCACACTGTAAGAAAAGTCTTGACAAATTACCAAATCCCCAGAGAGGCACAATCAAATTGTTATAACTATTCTGTATCAGTTCCACTGTGTTCTGTTGCAAGTAGGAAAAGGACTGATTATTAGTGGCTTAAACTCAAAGTCATTTATTCTTTACATAACAAGACCAGAAGGTCACTAGATTTAAGTTTGATTCAGTAGCTCCACAATGACAGGGTGCTGGATGGGCATTTCTGTGATTCTGTTGATCAACCCTAATGGTCATAAAATAGCTGCTCCCTTTCCAGACCTCACACCTTTATACTTTCTCACATGAAAGTAAGTATGAATTTGTTCTATGTTGATAAGGAGGACAGGTTCTAGACAGTGGGTAATGTTTATGGAAGAATATTTCAGCTCAATATAGGAGAGTATTTGCTAAAACTGCAGAGTCATCCAAAAATGAAATGATTGCTTTCAGGATACAGTGAACTTACTCATACTGAGGCTGTGGAAGTATGGGTAGGTTTGATATTCATTCATTCACTACTGCTGTAAAATGGATTTCAGGATGGAAGAGGAATTGGAATTAGATATTCCTAGAGTCTTTTCTAACTCAAAATCCTGTACTACTGCTAATACTACTGTTACAGTATTGATGCATTTGAAATAAACTATAGTTACAAATAACTGACTATAATAAAATCAAAACCTTAATCCATTAACAAGAAATTATAAATAATGCATCAAGAAAGGACTTTACTATTACATTTTAAATAATTGTTTATTAAATAGCAGAGTGCGTTAGCCTTAATGAACCCATTTGGCAATGCATGTTCTAACATTTCTTCACCTCTGCTCTACAGTAGCTAAAACAGATACAGTACCTGTGGATTGGCTAAAACTTACCTTCTCCACTTCCACTGTCAAGTTTTTAAAGCAACAGGCTATGCAGTGTTGTAGTACATGTACGCATGAATAGGAAATTTGGCTGACTTTTCCTCTCTGAGTTAAATTATGCAGTGGCAGTCAGTTAGTGCCTTCCAATCAATTATTTGTGTCATACTCGTAATGATAGACTCGCATTGCCTTCGTATGAGTTACTTGGATTTTTAAAGAAAGATAAAATTTAACATGCTTATAAAAATGTGGTTCAATAAAGCTGTTGAATAAGGGTGACTACTCTAGAGTTACAGCTGTACCTTGGGAGGTCATTCTAATAAGTCGCTGGACGTAAGAAAGAGTTATCATATCTTCACAGCATCCACAGCCTGTAAGAGGAGCTGATGGCCAAAGGCGATAAGTTAGACTTTGGAAATGTTGGATGCCTTTGACATATCTACATATCTATGTAGAAAATACATGAAAATTCTTGTCAATACATGAAAAATTCTTTGTAAATACATGAAAATATAAATGGAGAGCTCAAAATTATGATCAAGGCTGGAGAGAACAGATTTAGGAATTATTGGGACATAGAAGAAATTGCTCAGAAAGCGCTCAGAGGGTATAAAGAGAAGCAAGTTATAAAGAGAACCCTGGGAGACGCTAACATTTAAAGGCTAAACAGAGAAAATAGAGTCAGTTAAGGACCTCAAGAGGAGAGTACCTGGAACCAGAGGGGATTTCAATCACAGAGGCCAGAAAGGCTCAACAGAATGTGATCACTGGTGCTGAAGGTGTCAGTGAGATTAACTAAGAAAAGACTTGAAAAGTGTCTCTTGGACTTGGCAGTTAGGGTTATCGATGACATGAGGCTAAGAAATACTTCATTTAAGCAAAGAATTCTCTCCTCTGTTCAAATTTGAAATCACATCAGTTTAGTCTTTTGTACTCTTATCTCTAAAATATGCTGAAAAACAAAAGTTACTTGTGTTCTTCCAAGCAGTAGTCCAGTTTTTTTTTTTTTTTTCATTTGAGGGTGAGGTCCATTATAGTAGCCCCCTATGGTGTCAGTGGACTCTTCTAAATTCATGCTGTGGTCAAAGAATCAGTCAGCCACTGTGGATTATTGAACTGTAGAAAACGCTATTTATCTGAAAGAATTTCTTGCTAAATTGTGTTTTGTGAAATTTGTTTTCAGGAATTTTTTTTCAGGTTTAGAAGTAGGAAGTTTTCTAAATATGGTTTATATTTGTGAAATTATTACTGGAAAATGTTTTCAGGAGGCTTATTTTATAGACTAAACATTTCACCAGAGGTTCAGATAAGTTAAACTACAACCTGACATCTTAGTCTGCTTAATATTGTGCCCTGCACAAAATACACATTAAGTTATTATTATCTCCATACAAAGGAGCCATGTCTTTTTTGTGAAAACATTCAATGAGTTGTCAAAATTCAACTGCTAAAGCATAAAATGAGGGTCAATATAAGTAAGTGATGTAGATATGCATAATATTCTTTGTAAGTTAAAAAAATATAGGGCTTCCCTGGTGGTGCAGTGGTTGAGAGTCCGCCTGTCGATGCAGGGAACACGGGTTCCTGCCCCGGTCCAGGAAGATCCCACATGCCGCGGAGTGGCTGGGCCCGTGAGCCATGGCCGCTGAGCCTGCGCGTCCGGAGCCTGTGCTCCGCAACGGGAGAGGCCACAACAGTGAGAGGCCCGCGTACCGCAAAAGAAAAGAAAAAAAAAAAAGTAAAAAATAAAAAAATCCTCTTTTAAGTCAGTGGTTGCCGCTGATACACACAAGACAGAAAACTAAATTTAAAGGTGCCGCTAGAGTAAAATTGTTGCAAAAGTTTATAAGAGGAACTTGAGTCTAACAGGTGAACTAAGTTCTTCGCTTTTGTGGGCTTTAAGTGTTTTAAAATTCATGGTGAAACCATATTCTGCAGAGACATATTTACTGTTAGAGAAAAAAGCAACCACTGACTCTGTGGATCCTGCAGAAATAGAGACCTTAATGAAAAACCTGAAGTTTTACCCTTAGACTGTCACAGTTGCGAACAGCCATGAGGCCCCATGTAACACTCAGTATGACCTCCAATCCCTTCTGGAATAACAAAGAGTATAAAAACCAAGCCCAAAAATTAAATAAATACCCTTAGACATTCTCCCCACTTTATTAATGTTGGCATCACAGCTCTTGGTTGTGGTCAGGCTCTGCTGTTTTATGGCTTGGCCTTGTGGAGTTGAGAAAGCCCTGAGAAGTTGCCAAGTCCTTCTCAATCCCGTGGAGGCAGCATGGGGAGACCTCAAAGGCTGCAGTCAGAAAGAAGTGGGCTTAAACCTGCTTCGCCACTGACTTCAAGTAGCAGCTCAGGCAAATGACCTAACATCTCTTAGCTAAGTCCCAGGCCCTCAGCCCTGGTGCCTCCTTTGTAGAGCTGTTGTGAGGAATAAATGTGTGGGACATGTTCTGTGAAATTTTACAAATAACACAAAACCTTCTTTGTACAGATAAGACAAGTGAGAGGAGAGGCTAAGACAAGGTTGTCTAAGTAAACTGTAAGCTTACAGGATCAGTTTCCCAAAACACCTCTCCACTAAATACAATCACGAGTCAACAAATCAGAAAATGTTTGGATCCCCAAGCTGTAATAGGGATGGCAGGTATAAAGATGGATAGAACCCAAACTTGGAAATTATTGTTGCTTTGAGGGAGATTATGAATACAGTGTAATTTCAATATTTAAATAATGTTCAAAAGCAATGTAGTAGTAGAATAGTTTGTGTGGTAAATTTTATAGATATTAAGTATGTTTAAGTCAGAAGAGAGAGCTATCAATTCGGATAGAGTATCTGGTCATAGTTTCTACAAGACTTGAATAGGTATTGCACAATAGAGAACATCTATTTGTATGCTTGTATAGGTGCTCCAGACCAGGCAATGTTAAAAATACTTCTTGCATGTATTTTCTATCTAATGCATGGTATAATTTTGCTCTACTTTGCGATTTTTACATAATTTGATATTTGTTAGTTAATTATTCCAATCGTTTGGGCTTCTTCGTAGTGCTCTGTGACCTGTGGCTCTGGAGTTCAGCAAAGGGATGTGTACTGCAGACTGCGAGGCGTTGGTCGGGTGGCGGAAGAAAAGTGTGATCAGTCCACGCGGCCTTATTTTCAGAGACAATGTTGGCGTCAGGACTGCATACAGTACCATTGGGTGGCGGGAGAGTGGCTGGATGTGAGTATTGTCAAGTACACTTTCAGACAAACTTTCAGTGAAAGAATGTGTTCTCATTTCGTCATTGTGTTTCTAGTGTTCAACGTCATGTAAGAAAAGAGAGACACATCGGCAAGTGAAGTGCGTGGGTGCACAAAACACACAAGTGAATGAAAGTTTCTGCGATCCTTCAACCAGACCTCTTGCAATCAGAAAGTGCAGAAACCCTCCCTGCAAGTATATTGTGGTAACGGGAGACTCATCACAGGTAAGGCAAAGAAAGGAAGTTGAGAATTTTCGCTCCTGGAAAACACAGCTGAGTTTCAAATTTGACCCAGTTGAAACTGGGTCTAAATTTGAACATGGGAGCAGATGATGGTGTGCATATCAATCTAAGGGATAAAATCGCTGGCAGTTGGATGGTGCAAATAGAGTAATAGCGACATGTATGTTAAACTCTGGTGCAGTTCTGAAGCTGTGACAACTTTGAAACCGACTACCAGGGACGGTTTGGCACCTTTCCCTGCATAGTTGGCTGCTTTAAAAAATTTTTCTCTTCCGGTTTTATTGAGATATAATTGGCGCACAGCCCTGTATAAGTGTAAGGGGTACAGCATATATCTATCTCTGTCTATCATCCATATATCTATCTATCTACCTATATCTATCATCTATCTATCTATCTATCTATCTATCTATCAATCATCTATCTATTGCTTCTTTATTCATGTATTTATGGAAGCTTAGGTTGCTTCCATATTGAATGTTGTAATCAATGCTGCAATAAATATTGGGGTGTATATATCTTTTTGAGTTAGTGTTTTTGTTTTCTTCAGGAAAATATCCAGAAGTGGAATTTTGCTGGATCATATGGTAATTCCCATTCACAGTTTTTTGAGGAAACATCATAATATTTTCCATAGTGGCTGTACCAATTTATATGCCCACCAGCAGTGCAGGGGGGCTCCCTTTTCTCCATATCCTTGCCAGCACTTGTTTGTTTGTTGTCTTTTTGATTATAGCCATTCTGACAGGTATGAGGTGATATCACAGTTTTTATTTGAAATTCCTTGATGATTAGTAATGTTGAGTATTTTTACATGTGTCTATTGGCCATCTGTATGTCTTCCTTGGAAAAATATCTATTCAGATCCTCTGCCCATTTTTAAACTGAATTGTTTGCTTTTTTTTGATATTCAGTTGTGAGTTCTTTATATATTTTGGATGTTAACCCCTTATCCGATATATCATTGCAAATATATTGTCCCATTTAGTAGGCTGTCTTTTCACTTTTTTGATAGTTTCCTTTGCTGTGCCAAAGGTTTTTATTGTGATGTGGTCCCATTTGTTTGTTTTCGCTTTTGTTGCCCTTGGCTGAGGAGATGTATACAAGAAAATACTGCTAAGATTGGTGTGAAAGAGCTTATTACCTGTTTTCTTCCAGGAGTTTTAGGGTTTCAGATCTTACATTTAAATCTTTAGTCATTTTGAGTTTATTTTTGTATATGGTGTAAGGAAAGCATCTAGTTTTATTCTTTAGCACGTAGCTGTCGAGTTTTCCGAATGCCATTTATCAATGAGACTGTCTTTTCCCCATTGTATATTCCTAGCTTTGTGTTGTAGATTAATTGACCATATAAGCATGGGTTTATTTCTGGGATCTCTGTTCTGTACCATTCAGCTATGTGTCTGTTTTTGTGCCAGTATCATACAGTTTTGTTTACTATAGATTTATAATACAGTTTGAAATCCAAGAGCATGGTAACTCCAGCTTTGGGTTTTTTGGGGTTTTTTTCTGTTTGTTTTTTTTCTTAAGATTGCTTTGGCTATTCCAGGCCTTTTGTGGTTCCATTCAAATTTTTGGATTCTTTGTTCTAGTTCTGTGAAAAATGCCACTGGTATTTTGATAGGAATTGGATTAAATCTATAGATTGCTTTGGGTAGTGTGGACATTTTAACAATATTAATTCTTCCAATCCATGAGCATGGTGTATCTTTCCATTTACTTATGTCATCTTCAATTCTTTCATCAATGTCTTATAGTTTGCAGAGTATAGCTCTTTCACCTCCTTGGTTAAATTTATTCCTAGGTATTTTATTCCTTTTGATGCAATTGTAAATGGAATGGTTTTTTAACTTTTTCTTTCTGATAGTTTGTTGTTAGTGTATAGAAATGCAACAGATTTCTGTGTATTGATTTTGTATACTACAACTTTAGTGAATTCATTTGTTAGTTCCAATAGTTCTTTAGTGGAGTCTTTAGGGTTTTCTATATATAATATCATGTAATCTGCAAATGGTTACAGTTCTTTTCCAATTTGAATGTCTTTTATCTCTTTTTCTTGTCTGACTGCTGTAGCTAGAACTTCCAAAACTATGTTGAATAAAAGTGGTGGGATCTTTGACTTGTTCTTGATCTTAGAGGAAGGCTTAGAGGAAAAGCTTTCAACTTGTCATCACTGAGTGTGATGTTAGCTGTGGGTTTGTCATATATAACCTTTATTATATTGAGGTATGTTCCCTGTACTATTGAAATAATCATATGATTTTTATCCTTCATTTTCTTAATGTGGTATATCATGTTGATTGATTTGTGGATATTGAACCATCCTTGCATCCCTGGACTAAATCCCGCTTGAATTTGGTTTGCTAATATTTTGTTGAGGATTTTTGCATCTATGTTCATCAGTGATATTGACCTGTATTTGTGTGTGTGTGCGTGTGTGTGTGTGTGTGTGTGTGAGAGAGAGAGAGAGACAGACAGAGAGACAGAGAGAGAGAGAGAGAGACAGAGAGAGAGAGAGAGAGGGAGAGAGAGATATCTTTGTCTAGTTTTGGTATCAGGGTAATGCTGACCTTGTAGAATGAATTTGGAAGTATTCCTTCATTGGCAATTTTTTGGAATATTTTGAGAAGGATAGGTGTTGACTTTTCTCTAAATTTTTGATAGAACTCGCCTGTGAAGCCATCAGGTCCTGGACTTCCGTTTGCTGGGAGTTTATAAATCACAGTTTCAATTTCAGTGCATGTGATTGGTCTGTTCACATTTTCTATTTCTTCCTGGTTCAGTCTTGGGAGATTGAACATTTCTAGAAATTTATCCATGTCTTCTAGGTTATCTAATTAGTTGGCATATAATTGTTAGCAGTAATCTTTTATGATCCTTGTATTTCTATGGTGTCAGTTGTAACTTTTTCTCTTGCATTTTCACTTTCTTGATAGTGTCTTTTGTGCACCAATGTATTTAATTTTGATGAGGTCAAATTTATTTTTTCTGTTCACTTGTACTTTAGGTATCATTTCTAAGAAACTATTGCCCATCCAAGGTTACAAAGATTCACACTTCTATTTTGTTCTAAGAATTTTATAATTTTAGCTTATACGTTTAGGTCTGTAATCCACTTTGTATTAATTTTTGGATATGATGTGAAATGGGGTCCAACTTTATCCTTTTGCATGTGGCTATCCAGATGTTCCAACACAATTTTTGGAAGAAAACTGTTCTTTCCTCATTGAATTATCTATTACTGAAGAGTTATTTTTGAACTCTGAATTCATGATCCCTGATCTATGTGCCTATCCTTATATTGTTACCACATAGTCTTGGTCTTATAGTAAATGTTGAAATCAGGAAGTGTGAGAGAACCAATTTTGCTTTTCCTTTTCAAGATTATTTGCTTATGCTGTGTCCCTTACATTCCTATATAAATTTTAGGATCAACTTGTCATATTCTGTGTAAACTCCAGCTAGGATTTTGTTAGAGATTACATTGAATCTTGATCAGCTTGGGGAATGTTGCCATCTTAATAGTGTCTTCCAATCTGTGAATTGACATGTCTTTCCATTTATTTAGGTCTTATTAATTTCTTTCAGGATGCTTTATAGTTTATAGTTTTCATTGTACAAATCTTACACATTTTTGGTTAGTTTTGTTCCTAAAAGTTTTATTAATATTTTATGCTCCTGAAAATGAAATTATACTCTTAATTTCATTTTCTGCTTGTCCGTTCATAATGTGTACAGATAGAATTGATTTTTGTATGTTAAACACATTTATTGAGCACAGTTCATTTTTTGTGTGGGTTACTTAGCATTTTCTATATACAGAAGTATATCATTTGCAAATCCAGGTAGTTTTATTTCTTCCTTTAAATCTGGGTCCCTTTTACTTCATTTTCTTGCCTAGTTTCCCTGGCTAGAAACTCCAAAACAATGTTGAGTAGAAGTGGTAAAAACAGATATCCTTCTCTTTAAAGGAAAACTTTCAATTTTCATAATTGAATAGGTTAGCTATGGATTTTTTTTGTAGATTCTCTTTATCATACCCTCCTATTCTTAGTTTGCTTGGTGTTTGTATAATGAAAATGTGTCAGTTTGTCAAATGCTTTTTTTGCATCTATTGAGATGCTCGTGTGGTCTTTATGAGTCTATTTGTATGATGTATTCCACTGATTGATTTCACATGTTGAAACAATGTTATATTCCTGGGATAAATCTTACTTTGTCATGGTGTATGATCCTTTTTATTTGCTTCTGGGATTGTTTTGATAGTGTTCTGTTGAGGATTTTTACATCTATATTCACAAGAGATATTGGTCTGTAGTTTTCGTTCCTTGTTATGTCTGCCTAGTTTTGGTATGAGGGAAATACTGGCCTCATATGCCAAATTAGGAAGTAGTCTTTTCTATTCTATATTTTGGAAGTGTTTTGGAGGGGGAGGGTGCTAATTCTTCTTTAAACTTTTGGGGGAATTCACCAATGAAGGCTCTGGTCCTGGGTTTTTATTTGTGTGTTTTTTGTTTATTAATTAAATCTCTTTACTTGTTATAGGTCTACATAGATTTCTATACACAGATTTCTACACAGGTTCTCCCATCTTCCCAGAGTTTGTTGTTACTGCTGTTTGTTGTTGTTTGTTTGTTTGTTCAGTGACTTTTCTGAACTAACTGTAAAGTCTGTATTCTTTGTCTCATGTGGTCACTAAAGTCTCTATCTGATTAGTTTTCAACTAACGACTGGATAGTGATTTCCTGAGATACCAGTAATCTCTAGTCTTTGCCAAGAGGCTCTGTGTGCATGTGTGGGCATCTTCAACACTAGATGAGGCAGTTGACAACTCTTCCTTAACCTTAACTTCCTGCTTGAGCAGAGCCTTGACATCAGCCAGAAATGAGAGTGTAGGTACTTCTCAGATATTTCCTAAGCTTGCATACAGCCCTAGACATGTGCACAACCATATGTATGTCCATGGCCTTCTAGTTATCTATGACTCTGTTGGAGTTTTTAAAGCCCCTGTGGACATCTCCTTTCCCAGCTTTTCCTTTTAAGCTTTTCTTGGTAACCCATTGCTTGCCTGACTGTTATCCACTTCCTCTGGAAGCTGCAAAGTTAAACAATAGCCTTTAATTGTGTTCAAAAATGCCTCCAAGGAGAAGGCTTTTAGCACTGGGCAAGTGCTGGGTAAAGTCAAATAGAGACTTGCAAGTGAGGTCTTTCAGAAAACCACCAAACAGTTCAAATAATGACAGTTCTCTGGAAATGAAGCTTAGAAAGATGTCCAATCCCTCTGGTGGCTTCCATGCTTTTTTTTTTCACTATGTTTGCAGGGCTATTGATTTTCAATCCTCCTATAGAGTTGAAGAGGGGGAATGGGAATAGGGCAAACTAAAACACACAAAGCTCACTGTTCTTACTGAGATTTAGCCTTATTTCTTTAATAAATGCTTCCCGGATTGCTGCAAGCCTTTGGTTAATTTACAGAGCTCTGAAAAAGTTGATTTTCACAAGTTTTGTCAGTTTTCTCATTGCCTTTATAGAAGAGAACACTTTCAAATGTCCTTGCTCTGCTGTTTTCATCGATGTCACTCACCCCTTGGGGTCTGCTTTGATAGATGGATATTTCTCCTCATCATAGGTTATATTTTCCTGCCTCTTTGCATGCCAGTTAATTTTTTATTGCATGCCATGCATTATGAATTTTACTTTGTTGGCTACTGGATAGTTTTTATTTCTATACGTATATTTTGAGCTTTGTTCCAGAATGCAGTTATTTTGTCTGTAAGAAGTGTGATCTTTTCTTGTCTTGCTCTTAAGATTTTTCATGGGAGACCGGTGCATTGTTTAGTCTAGGGTTAGCTATTCCCCTCTACTGTGGCAAGACCCTTTTGAGTACTCTACCTATTGCTGCATGTATATAAGGTTTTCCAGTCTGAATGAAGGAAACAGACACTATATTTGGTCCTGTGTGAGTACCAGATACAGTGATTCATATGTCATTTATTTTATTTTATTTTATTTTATTTTGTGGTACGTGGGCCTCTCACTGTTGTGGCCTCTCCTGTTGCGGAGCACAGGCTCTGGACGCGCAGGCTCAGCGGCCATGGCTCACAGGCCCAGCCGCTCCACGGCATGTGGGATCTTCCCAGACCGGGCCACGAACCTGTGTCCCCTGCATCGGCAGGCGGACTCTCAACCACTGCGCCACCAGGGAAGCCCCGTATGTCATTTACTTATTTAAAAATATTTATTTATTTATGTTGCACCAAGTCTTATTTGAGGCACACGATATCTTTGTTGTGGCATGCGGGATCTTTAGTTGTGGCATGTGGGATCTTTCAGTTGTGGCATGCGGACTTCTTAGTTGCGGCATGCGGACTCCTAGTTGCAACGTGCATGCGGGATCTAGTTCCCCGACCAGGGATCGAACCTGGGCCCCCTGCATGGGAGCATGGAGTCTTACCCACTGGACCACCAGGAACGTCCCCATACATCTTTTAATCCATTCATCCCTTGGCCTCAGCTGGTGTCCTCACATGTTTGCACTGGTCAGAACTCTGCTGTCCCCTTGGAATCCCTTTCCTTATTCCAAAACCTGGAAACTCTCTCAAGACATTAAGCTGGAGCAATTATAGGGTCACTTTGTTTCTGTCTCCCAGGGAATCACTGTCCTTTATTGCCTAATGTCCAATGTCTTAAGAGCCATTGTTTTATCAATATATATCTTGTTCAGGTGTTTTTGTTGTTTTAGGTCAGATGGTAACTCTATTCCTTGTTACTCCTTTTTGTTGGAGTCAGAAATCTATTTGCCCATTCTTTTCTCTGGATCGTTAATTTATATCTAAATCACTTACCTATTCTAGTCAAATGGTAGTACACATCACATTGTATGTATAGAGATAAATATATGCTAAACTTATATAGAGTTACAAGTACATTAAGACTAATAAATGTTCTTTATTTCAGGTAAGAACCCTTGATATGTTTCATTTCTCCAAAGCTCTGCTTATCAGGAGATAAATTTTCATTCAGTTAAGCTATTCTTTGTAGTGTGACCAAGAAAACAGAAAACAAACAAATGAACAAACAGAAAAAACATAGGCACTGAAAGTAGACAATCTATCCTGAATCTGGATCCTTTCCATCCTGGTACAACTCTGTGAAAGTTGCCTAATACCTCTGCACCTTTGTTTACACATCTGCAAATGAGGCTAATAAATAGGATTGTTGTGGGGATACCATAACATAGTATATATTAAGCACCTGGAAAGTAGTGGTGCTTAACCCTGGTTAAGTTTAAGGGCATCTTCTTCTCCCTTCATAACATTGTATTTTTCAGTGTGCAGGTAACTGTGGATTTAGTTACGGACAAAGGATTACATATTGCATTGGGATCCGATCTACTGAGAAATATAAGCTTCATGAGCTGTGGCCTGTAGACTATCAAGAATGCCCTGTGTTGCCTTCCCCTCAGGTTTACAAATGCAATTTTAGAACCTGTTTGCATATGGCCACTTGGAAAGTTGGAAAATGGAGCAAGGTCAGTATATAATTATGAATTTAAAATCTTCTGAATGAGACTTTCTAGTTGTGGGATGCCTAGTATTCTGCACTTCTAACTAGATATCAGAGTTGTCTCATACCCCTATTGTCTAACAATCACTTTATCAGTTATTTATCAGTTATCATCTCTTTTTCTATGTTTGCTATAACCTGCCTTAAGCAGGGACCATAATTAATACTTGTTTCTTTTCCTCAGAGAATCTGGCACAGTGGCTTGCATTATGAATAGATGCTTAAGCAATACTTACTGGTTAAGTGAAAAAGTAAATAAATCTAATGTATGAGTAATACAGGTTATTTGCACCATATTCCATTTCCAATTAAATTGATAGAAAGCAAGTAAATATTGCTTTGCAAACTTAGCATACAGCAATGAGTAAAAACTCAGTAGTCTGAATAACCATCATTAATTAATATTTATCAAGTATTTATAATATACTGCTGAGCTAACTATACAAAATAAATGGAAAGAAGCCAGTAACTGAGAAAGAATAGATTCAGTTTCTTAAGGATTAGCCCCACCTGTGACTCTCTAGCCTCCAGGATATTTTTGTGTCTGCAGAAATTCTAGCCATTATTGATCATCAGTTTGTTCCAAAAGGACCTAGCTTGAAAGGAGGAGATATGTATTTACTGGCCTTATTATCCATTATATACTTTACCTTCAAACTTTTCTCTGTTCACAGTGCTCTGTGACTTGTGGAGTTGGAATAATGGAGAGAAGAGTGGAATGCATAGCTGGCAGTGGTTGGTCCAGTGACTTATGTTTAAAGAGTTTAAAACCAGATGCTCAAAAGAAATGTTATGTCCATGACTGTAAGTACTAAACTTCAAAAATCTAGAACCTAAGCATTCCTAAGAAGTTTTCATTAAAATCTGAAAATAAATATTTAGAGTAGCCATACACTCCACAAAATGAAAGTTCTGTTTTTTTCAGAATATAACAATATTGGTGTAATTGAGTTAAATTCATGTTGTGTCTGTAATTTGTTCATTGTTGATAAGTTGTACTCACTTGTCCTTGAAGGTAAAACATTTACCAGCTGTAAAGAAATCCAAGTGAAAAACAACATTACCAAGGATGGTGACTATTACCTTAACATTAAAGGAAGAATAATAAAGGTATTACGAAGACAGTTCCTATTTGATTTTAACATTGACTGTTGACTTTGAAAAAAGCTTTTCTAGATCTTTGCATTTTCTCTTTAGATCTATTGTGCTGGCATGCACTTGCAGAACCCCAAGGAATATATATCATTGGTCAAAGGTGAAGAAGACAACTTTTCTGAAGTGTATGGCTTTAGGTATATGCTGTGTTTTGCTTTATCTGTGCATTTTTATGGTCCTTCAAGAGGATTAGAAGTTCCAGAGTTCAGAGTGGTACTTGAATAGCTCCCAGTGGGACAAGTAATTTAGAAACAGGTGGACATATTAGGACCTAAGCCAGATGTTGTCCATGCCTGTTCAATAATAAAGATTTGGGCATTAACATGTACTCACAGAGAGACTGACTAAGAAGGATACTGTGGGTGAGCAGTGAGACAACAGAGGAGGGAAGAATTTAAGACCTGTGTGTATTTTCATAGAAATAAAATTAATTCCAGTAATAAAAGCTAGGAGAACTACAGCTGAATTATTTTTCCACAAACTGGTCTTGAATTTCCCATTAATCATTTTGTATTTCTTTGACTTTTAACTTGTTGAGTGATTTTCATTTCTTTCACATTTAACTTGTTGACCCTAAAATATTGAAGAGTGTGTCTTTTACCTTCCCACTTCCAAAGTTTACCATTTATCTGCATTATGGTCTAATAAAGGTATCTAATACTAAAATATTTTAATATTGTTACAGACTGCAAAATCCATATGAATGTCCTTTTAATGGAAGCAGGAGGCAAGACTGTGAGTGTAAAAATGACTACTTGGCTGCTGGACACACTGTTTTCAGCAAAATAAGAATTGATCTTAATTCCATGCAAATTAAAAGTAAGTGCTGAATCTCTATTTGTAAAATGAAAAGTACCTGTTTGCTAATGCAAGTCTAACAATATACTATATGGTATATGTGGTAGCTAGGGTATAGAGAAAGGCCTAGCATTGTGCAATAATTACTTGGAATTCTTTTTAAAAAGTTATTAGCTACATAGTTCCATTGCAATGATACGGACCATGGGAACCCTTAATAAAAATGTAGTGGTAATGACACTGTCATTAGTAAAGATAGTAAGGATACGGTCATAGTAAAGATCCTTCCCTTCCAAGATATAACCATCTACCTTAAAATCCTCAATTACATTAAAAATAAGGAAGTTAATATCCTCAATGTAGTTGTAAAGCTTTTTTGCAAGGGCTTAAAGTAATAATTAACCTTAGTTTCAGGTGACAGTTTGTCTAGTATTTTCTTATACTTTATCTCATTTGATCTTTTCAACACCCCTATACTAGATAAGGCAAAATTTCATCACATTGTTGCAAGTGATGAAATTAAGATGCACTTATAGAATTAAGTGATTGGCCCAATTCATACAGTTAGTAACTGGCATTGTAGGGAGATAAAGTACCACTCACAGATCCCAGATTATGGACCTGCTGCCTTTCTAGGAAGTAATTTATAGTACAGTCAAGTTAAAGTAAATATACTTTATGAAACCTAACATACACTGAGCCTCAGGCAGTCTGCCCTCCTGAAAATTACATAGTGACATGAAAATGCAAAGAAGTTCATTTCAGAAGCAGAAACTCTAAATCACAATTGAATCACCAGTGCCTAGCACAGTACCTAAACCACAAAAAGAAACAAAACAGTGTTTGTTGAGACAGTGAATGCATGAATACATAATCTCTAAATCAGTCATATGATGGTGAACTATTATTGTCAGTAAGAGTGGCTACCATTTACTGAACACCCACAATTACTGCAGTGGGGAAGTGTTATAATGCTTTGGTTATGATCATAGACTCTGGAGTTAGATTGCTGGGTGTAAATTCTCTGCATCCAATTACCAGTCATGTGACCTTGGGCATCTCTCTCTTCAAGCCTAAATTCCCTCATCTCTAAAATAAGATGCCTCTCAGGTTTTTTTCTTTCTTTTTTTCTGCTTTCTTTCCTTTTTTTTTTTTTTTTTTGGTTAGGATTAAGAGATAATACTTGTAACATATCTAGTAAATGCCTTGCGAGTAGTAGGTGTTCTATAAACAATGGTTATTATTTAATAATATATGTTGTGTCAGCATTGCTGAGTACATAATGGACATTTGGGAACTTATTTGCTGTTTATTAAGCTATTATCTTTCATTAATTTATCAAACCTGCCATTTTGCCAGGCATTGGACTGGGCTCTGAAGATACAATGTTAAATGTATACATTTTCCTCTTTCCCTTCCTCATACTTGTGTGCCAAAACCCCAGTCTTGATTAAATTAAACCTTTCACCTACTCTCCACTTGCACCATGAATCTTGCATGTGGCAAGTAATACACAGCCCTCCTGACTGATCTTACTTTAAATGCATGACTCCTGAGCTTGCACGGACCCTGGTCCATTCCTCCCCAACTCTTCTCAATGTCTGACTCACAGCTTCTCCTCTGGCTTCAAACTTCTAAATTTTCTAATACCTCCACTCCAGTCACTCATTGCTGATGACCTAAACCTTGACCTATGGACTTTGCCTTCTCTCCTGGTCACTGTGGATGAACTATTTCTGCTGCCATCTGAGGCAACCCCTTCTACTTGTGCTCTGAGCTCCTTGCTTTGTACCAACTCAGGACCATTATTTCAGGAAACTTTCCTTTTTCTCTTACATCACCAATTCTTCTTCCATTTCTTTAACTCCAGTGACAGATTCTTGATTTTCATTTCATTTGATCCATCAGCAGCCTTTGGTTTCCAGGACTTCTCACTCTCATCATTTGGCTCCTGTCTTGGTCACTCTTTCTCCCATCTTTCTCACTGTTTCTCAACTTGGCTAGTTACTCTTCCTTTTATACAACACTGAGTATTGAAGAACTTCAGGACTCAGTCATTCCCTTAAGGATCTCTTTCAACTTATAGATTTCAAATACCATCTGTTAAATGACAGTCCCAAATGTATATCTCTAATTCAGTCTGCTGCCCTGAATTCCAAGATTCAACTCCCTACTCCACATATCCACATGAATGTCTAATATGCGTCTGACAATGTTTCCAAAACTGAACTTTCTTTTTTTTTTATTGGAGTATAATTGCTTTGCCATGTTGTGTTAGTTTCTGCTGTACAATGAAGTGAATCAGCGATATGTATACATATATCTCCTCCCTCTTGGACCTCCCTCCCACCCCCCCATCCCACCCATCTAGGTCATCACAGAGCACTGAGCTGAGCTTCCTGTGCTTTATAGCAGGTTCCCACTAGCTATCTATTTTACACATGGTAGTGCATATATATCATTCATAATCCCACAATTTGTCCCACCCTCCCCTTCCCCCACTGCATCCACATGTTCATTCTGCGTCTCTATTCCTGCCCTGGAAATAGGTTCATCTGTACCCTTTTTCTAGATTCTACATATATGCGTTAATATATGATATTTGTTTTTCTCTTTCTGACTTACTTCACTCTGTATGACAGACTCTACGTCCATTCACATCTCTACAAAGGAACCGATCCTTCTACCCGAATTTTTGCCATTTCAGTAAATGGCAACTATCAGCTTCTAGTTACTCTTGCTAAAACATAGCAATGTCTTTAACTCTTTCCGTTATCTCACACCTACGTGCCATCCATCATCAAATTCTTTCAGGTGAATCTTTAGCATACATGCTGCTATGCACTGTATTGTGTCCTGCATAATTCATATGATGAAGCCCTAATCCCCAATGTGACAGTGTTTGGTCCTGGGGAGATAATTAGGTCTAGATTAGTTCATGAGGGTAGGGCCATAATTGTAAGATGAATGCCCTTATAAAAAAAGAGGAAAAGACACCAGGACTCTCTTTCTCTGCCATGTGGGGACACAGCAAGAAGACGATCTCCAAGCCAGGAAGGGGGGCTCTCACCAGAACTTGACCGTGTTTGCACCTGCGCTTCTTTTTTTTAAGCCCCCCAGTCTGTGATAGTGTTAGGGCAGCTTGAGCTAAGACACGTGCAAAATCCCACTTTGCCATTATCTCATTTGCTATCACCGTGGGCCAAGTCCATATCTCATTTGCTATCATCGTGGGCCAAGTCCATATCATTTTTTTCACCTGGATTCTTATGCTTACTGACTGGTATTCCTGTTTACTCTGGTAGCACTCAGGTTCCTTTTCACCTTTTCCCCAACTCCTGACCTAGATTCTCTTCTCAATAGAGAATCCAGAGTGATCCCTTAAAACGTAAGCCATGTCTTGTCTTATACATTATCTCATTTCATCTTTTTAATAACCCCAACCTCTGCTCAAAATTCTCCAAACATCTCCCATCTAACTCATAACAGAATTAAAAATCCTGCTGATGGTCAGTAAAACTCAATAAGACCTTCCCACCTCCATTACCTTTCTGCTCCTTCCCTCCACACTCCTCCCTTGCACGATCTGGTTCAGACACATTTGTCCCTTTGCTGTTTCTTGAATACATCAAGCATGCCCTCCACCCCTCCTTAAGGCCTTTGCACTTTCTGTTCTATCTGCCTAGAATGATTGTCTGTCAGGTTTACCCCTCAGTTTCTTCCTGGTCTCTGCTTAAATACACCTTCCCAATAAGTTCATCCTGGACCTCTCCACTCCAAAACTCCCTTTCTTCTTATTGTTTTCCTGCTTTATTTTTTATTTTTTTCTATAGCAATGATCACCTACAACATATGATAGTATCTACTCTATTACTTGTTTCTCTCTGGTAGCACTCAGGTTCCATTGGCCCCTATGTCATCCACTACTGTGCTCTTACAGTACTTATAATAATGCCCAATATGCAGTAGATTCTAAAGAAATATTTGCCGAATAAAAGTCAACTTTCCTCATGAAGCTATCTTAAGGAAATCTTGAAGACAAATTTGGATTAACCAAAGTGAGAAGGAGTTTCAGGAGGAGACATCGTGAACACAGCATGAAATGGTGAAGAATTTTGGTTCCGCTAGAGAATAAGGAGTAGTCTAGTTTTGTCTAAGCATAAATTGAATGGAGGTTGGGGGATAGCAGCTTATTAGAGATGTTCCCAGAAAGCAGATCAAGAAGAACAATGTGTACTAAGCTATACAATTTAATTTATCTTTTAAGTTATGGGGAACTTTGGGGTAAAAGTATAAACGGGGGAGGGAACAGGCTCAGTTGGAGAGAGAGCAAATTGTATCCATGAAGATATTTAGGAAGCTAATATAATAGTTCAGATAGAAGGTGATAAGGACCTAAATTAGGGACTTGGTTCAGAATAGAGAACCTGAGAGAAATATTAAAGAGGTACACTCTATGATTTTCCAACAGATGGAATATGGGGATTTGTGGCATGGAATATTTAGAAAGAGTTCCAAATTAACTGGGTAGATGTTGAGATGTTCAATGAGATGAGAAATATAGCAGGAGGAATATGTTTGGAGAAAAAGATAATGCATTTAGCTTTGGACATGTTAAGCGAGAGCTATCTGTGGGTTATCCAGGGAATGATGGAGGAGATAGTAGCAAAGGCTAATTTGAAAACTGTGTCAGTTTGCCCAGCCTAACCCTAAGTACCATGCATAAGCAGTGGTGTGTGGATAAATGTTTAACAACCAGCTCTTAACAATCAGGAAAAGAAAAGTTTGATTTGTAGGTTTTGCCAGTTTCCATGGAGTATATATCCCCACCATGGCCAATTTTAAGCTACCAACATGAGCTCATTATGCATAGAGTTGGGAAGAAACACACACAATTGGTTCTCATGATTTGGTACAAGCTGACTCTGGCACACCATGGAAGGCCTGCTGCCCTTGGAGATATGATAAATATTTCCAGAAATGCTACCTTTGGGGATTGCCTCTAGGGGACTGACGTCATCATGAGGGCATGCAGAGATCTTGCAGTCCTCCTGAAAGATATTTGAAACAACATTAGCCGAGGTGAGAGCCACCGACTGCATGAGCATTAGTTGGGATGTTATTTAAGTGATTCAAGCATGAATAAGTGATTGTACCAGCTAACCTTTAGGGTTCCTCCCAACCTGTTTTTGAGCCAATGACTCTTTCTTTCTGATACTTTATATGGAATCCCCAGCATTGTTGCCAGTCAAGAAATTTTGCTAATAACATTAGCAAAATAAGATTAGAAAGAATGAAATAGTAATATAAGAAATCAAAGAAAATGGCACACTTTTTACCTTCATGTTTTTGAATTCTCTAAATGAATTGATATGCATACTCTCTATAAGCACGTATATGTTGCTTTATCATAATTTATCTTTAAATAATGTTTTTTCCTCTGTAATTTTGCTCCTTATGCCACTTTATCTATTTTAGATATTCACTATGATGTAACATATGATAGAGCATTTATTTAGCTTTTACAACATATGGATTAGTTACAGATGTCCCTGTCATATTTTTGAGCAATTTATGAGGTGAACATTTTTATATTAAATAAAAATTTGAGAGCCTGATCTATATTATGTACTACAATTGTGCAACATTTTTGCTTAAAATTTTGGATTAGTTTTATGAATGTATTTAAGAATGTAATATGAAGACTGCATGTTTTGCAACGAAGATGTGAAAACATACAATGTCTCAGTGCTAAAGAGTTTCATTTATTATTTTCTAGCTACAGACCTTCTTTTTGCCCAGACAGTATTTGGAAACGCAGTTCCATTTGCCACAGCTGGAGATTGCTATAGTGCAGCCAGATGCCCACAGGTATTTCATAGTTGATTATTTTTTCTCACTGAGTAAAGTTAATACTGTTTCTCTTCATTCACTTTCTTGACCAAAATACTGTAAGAAACATAAGTAAATAGAAAATGCAAACTTCTGACATGACATTCATTTCAAAGGTTATAGATAAACTTTGGAGGAAAAGCATCTTTGCCAGTACCGGGTTTGTTTGAAGGGTGTAATAATAAGAATTTTAAATTGGTCAGATCCTGTTTCTCCTTCCATGATGCTTTATCACTGTCAATCTTTCGACTTAGTCCATAGAAATGAATGGACATAAGTTACAAGGTAAGGGAATGGATCACAAACATGTGACTTTCATACACTGCTGCTAACATCAGTTATATTAGCTGTTTGGGCCTGTAACATTCTCAGAATAACTTTCTATTACTGTGAAATAATACATTTCCATGTCTTTATTCTTGTTTTTATCCTTTCTTTTGCAGAGTTCTCTTTGCACACCCTTTTATGTCATTTTTGAGCTTTCCAGTACAAAGTGTGCTTCCTAGAAGAAATTTGCTGTCTCATTTTTTTAACATAGGATTTTATAAAGTCTATGTGAATAACATTTTTTGTGATAAGATACAGAGACATAAGCTAGGTGAATATACCATTATTAGGTAGATTTATAGATTAATGAAAAATCCTGCCCAGAGATATTAATTATAATAACGATTTCATTTTCAAGAAAACTAGCTAAAAGGTTTGCCATAGCCCTCTCTTCTAAGAATTTCTCATTCACAGTTTTCATCCTATGACATAGAAAGTATGCTTATGCTAAAAAGAGAGGGCATTTTCTGTATTAGAGGAGGACACTTAAAGGAGTTCAAAAGACACTAGAACTACAGGCCGAAATGAATATGAAAAAAGTTAACTGGAATAAATATATAAATCTTAGGTCCAGAAATGCAAGTAGAACCTGGCAATGTCATATAAAAAGACCTAGGTGTTTTATTCAACCACCATGGGTTCAATATAACTAGTGTAGACCAAGTAGTAATTTCTTTTTTCTTTTTCTTTTTTTTTCATATTGAGTTATTGTTATTGGCTGGCATAATACAGGGATTATTTTCCTCTTCACAGAACAAAATGTGATACCACATTTCTTTACAATTAAATTAAGGCTAAAGAACAACAAAGACATTATGGTTCATATGATGCATTGGAAACATATTGTCTGTGCTCCACTTGAGCAGAGGGTAGAATGCCTTTACTTTGTTACTTTATGAAATGCCAGGTTTTCAGGGCAAATCCTATTAAGGGGTTTTAGTTCCTGCCTGATATTTTGCTTTCTTCTCTGCCAGCTGCCACTGCATTGGAGATGCCTCAGGATTGTTCAGCCCATGGTTAGACTTGATTTAGAAATTAAAACTACCAAATTGGGGAAATGTGTCCATTCATTCTTTCTCATCTATTTATCTATCCAATATCTATCATATCTATAATAAGCTTATTATAATCATCTGCTTACTTGTCATTTCCCTCCACTAGTCTGTAAGCATCTGGTGGAACTGGTTCCTAGGTATATCTTCAATGCCTGATGTATTTACTGACTAAACAGTAAATATTTATTCAGTGTTTGAACTCTCAATGAGATTTTACTCTAGGAGAGAAGATAAGATATGTAAATTAAAAAAAAGAATATGTTGGATTGGGTGTGTAGGGGGTGGCCAGAAGAGATTTATTGGAATTTTGAAGGTAGAGATCCTAAATAGTACACTCATTAATGTTTTGGGGGGGGAATGAACTATCAACCGACCATCTATTTCTCCACCTACCTATCTAGTTACTTAGGTAGCACCTTAGTTCTTTATTCATAAGCCATAAACAAACCAAGCAAATCAATTGTTTTTTTGTTTGTTTGTTTGTTTTGTTACTCACATCACTCTGTTATTGGTCAAATCAGTCAAACAATCAACTGGGTCATTCCGTCATTGGATAACTTGAATAATATATATATATATATTTATACAGCAGGTTCTTATTAGTCATCAATTTTATACACATCAGTGTATACATGTCAATACCAATCGCCCAATTCATCACAACACCACCCCCACCACCCCACCACTTTCCCCCCTTGGTGTCCATATATTTGTTCTCTACATCTGTGTCTCAATTTCTGCCCTGAAAACCGGTTCATCTGTACCATTTTTCTAGGTTCCACATATATGTGTTAATATACGATATTTTTCTCTTTCTGACTTACTTCACTCTGTATGGCAGTCTCTAGATCCATCTACGTCTCAACAAATGACCCAATTTCGTTCCTTTTTATGGCTGAGTAATATTCCATTGTATATATGTACCACATCTTCTTTATCCATTTGTCTGTTGATGGGCATTTAGGTTGCTTCCATGTCCTGGCTATTGTAAATAGTCCTGAATTGAACATTGGGGTGCATGTATCTTTTTGAATTATGGTTTTCTCTGGGTATATGCCCAGTAGTGGGATTGCTGGATCATATGGTAATTCTATTTTTAGTTTCTTAAGGAACCTCCATACTGTTCTCCATAGTGGCTGTATCAATTTACATTCCCACTAACAGTGCAGGAGGGTTCCCTTTCCTCCACACCCTCTCCAGCATTCGTTGTTTGTAGATTTTCTGATGATGCTCATTCTAATTGATGTGAGGTGATACCTCATTGTAGATTTGATTTGCATTTCTCTAATAATTAGTGATGTTGAGCAGGTTTTCATGTGCTTCTTGGCCATCTGTATGTCTTCTTTGGGGAAATGTCTATTTAGATCTTCTGCCCATTTTTGGATTGGGTTTTTTTTTTTTTAATATTGAGCTTCATGAGCTGTTTATATATTTTGGAGATTAATCCTTTGTCCGTGGATTCATTTGCAAACACTTTCTCCCATTCTGAGGGTTGTCTTTTCGTCTTGTTTATAGTTTCTTTTGCAGTACAAAAGCTTTGAAGTTTCACTAGGTCCCATTTGTTTATTTTTGTTTTTATTTCCATTACTCTAGGAGGTGGATCAAAAAAGATCTTGCTTTGATTTATGTCAAAGATTGTTCTTCCTATGTTTTCCTCTAAGAGTTTTAGAGTGTCCAGTCTTACATTTAGGTCTCTAATCCATTTTGAGTTTATTTTTGTGTATGGTGTTAGGGAGTCTTTGGTTTCTTCAGTGATCTCTTGGTTATTTAGTAACATATTGTTTAGCCTCCATGTGTTTGCGTTTTTTACTTTTTTCCCCCTGTAATTCATTTCTAATCTCATAATGTTGTGGTCAGAAAAGATGCTTGATATGATTTCAATTTTCTTAAATTTACTGAGGCTTGATTTGTAACCCAAGATGTGATCTATCCTGGAGAATGTTCCATGCATGCTTGAAAAGAAAGTGTAATCTGCTGTTTTTGGATGGAGTGTCCTATAAATATCAATTAAATCTATCTGGTCTATTGTGTCATTTAAAGCTTCTGTTTCCTTATTTATTTTCATTTTGGTTGATCTGTCGATTGGTGTAAGTGAGGTTTAAAGTCCCCCACTATTATTTTGTTACTGTTGATTTCCTCTTTTATAGCTGTTAGCAGTTGCCTTATGTATTGAGGTGCTCCTATGTTGGGTGCATATATATTTATAATTGTTATATCTTCTTCTTAGATTGATCCTCTGATCATTATGTAGTATCCTTCCTTGTCTCTTGTAACATTCTGTATTTTAAAGTCTATTTTATCTGATATGAGTATTGCTACTCCACCTTTCTTTTGATTTCCATTTGCACGGAATATCTTCCTCCATCCCCTCACTTTCAGTCTGAATGTGTCCCTAGGTCTGAAGTGGGTCTCTTGTAGACAGCATATATATGGGTCTTGTTTTTGTATCCCTTCAGCAAACTTGTGTCTTTTGGTTCGATCATTTAATCCATTCACATTTAGGGTAATTATCAATATGTATGCTCCTATTACCATTTTCTTAGTTGTTTTGGGATTGTTTTCATAGGTCCTTTTCTTCTCTTGTGTTTCCCACTTAGAGAAGTTCCTTTAGCATTTGTTGTAGAGCTGGTTTGGTGGTGCTGAATTCTCTTAGCTTTTGCTTGCCTGTAAAGCTTTTGATTTCTCCATCAAATCTGAATGAGATCCTTGCTGGATAGAGTAATCTTGGTTTTAGGTTCTTCCCTTTCATCACTTTAAGTATATCATGCCACTCCCTTCTGGCTTGTAGAGTTTGTGCTGAGAAATCAGCTGTTATCTTTATGGGAGTTCCCTTGTATGTTATTTTTCATTTTTCCCTTGCTACTTTGTGTGTATGTGTGTGTGGTACGCAGGCCTCTCACTGTTTTGGCCTCTCGCATTGCGGAGCACGGGCTCCAGATGAACAGGTTCAGTGGCCATGGCCCATGGGCCCAGCCGCTCTGCGGCATGTGGGATCTTCCCGGACCGGGGCACGAACCCGTATCCCCTGCATCGGCAGGCAGACTCTCAACAACTGCGCCACCAGGGAAGCCCTCCCTTGCTATTTTTAATAATTTTTCTTTGTCTTTAATTTTTGCCAATTTGATTACTATGTGTCTCGGTGTGTTCCTACTTGGGTTTATCCTGTATGGGACTCTCTGCGCTTCTTGGACTTGGGTGGCTATTGCCTTTCCCATGTTAGGGAAGTTTTTGACTATAATCTCTTCATATATTTTCTCTGGTCCTTTCTCTCTCTCTTCTCCCCTGGGACCCGTGTAATGTGTATGTTGTTGCATTTAATGTTGTCCCAGAGGTCTCTTAGGCTGTCTTCATTTCTTTTCATTCTTTTTTCTTTATTCTGTTCCACAGCAGTGAATTCCACCATTCTGTCTTCCAGGTCACTTATCCGTTCTTCTGCCTCAGTTATTCTGCTACTGATTCCTTCTACTGTAGTTTTCATTTGAGTTATTGTATTGTTCATCTCTGTTTGTTTGTTCTTTAATTCTTCTAGGTCCTTGTTCAACATTTCTTGCATCGTCTCGATCTTTGCCTCCATTCTTTTTCCGAGGTCCTGGATCA